AAATTTGTTGAGGTAGCCATGGCCTAAAAAAAAAAAAAAAAAAAAAAAAACTGTTATAGAGGGTCTGTTAGTTTTTAGATTTTTATTTACACTTAGGAATTCATGTAAACTGAACTGCCTCATAAACATAATATTATCAATATTTAAATACCTTCTTCCAAATATACATTTTAAAATAAATATATACAGTATGTATAAGACAAAACCATGCCAGCTCCATAAAGACATGGTATGAAGACCCTTTTCTGTTCCGCCATGACTGTCCCCTGTGAACAAAGCCAGCTCCATAAAGGTGTGACCAGTTTGGTGTGGAGGAACTCGAGTGTCCTGCACAGAGCCCTGACCTCAACCCTACTGAGCACCTTTGGGATGAATTGGAATGCTGATTGTGAGCCAGGCCTTCTCATCCATTAGTACTTGACCTCACAAATGGGTCAAATTCCCACACACACACTGTCCAAAATCTTGTGGAAGTCCTCCCAGAAGAGTGGAGGCTGGTATAGTAACAAAGAGGGGGCAACTTCACATCAATGGTGGGGCAGCTTCATATTCATAGTTATGGATGGGGGACCATCTCCATATTAATGGTCATGGTTGCTTCTGGACCCCATGCCACTCACTATGACTGCAGATATTATGTAGAGCAATGGCCAGTGCTGGGTCATCCAAGTACAGTGGGTTTCCATCCTGAATATTCCCATAGACATATATAACAATCCAAACAACCCAATGCAAGCAGAGTGGAAGAGGGTGATGATGATAAACAGTGCACAGTGCTGGCACAAACCCCTGCAACCGTGGTATGCCTTTGACAATAGGGGCTTGTTCATACCATAACACATCCCTTAACATAGCATGCATTTTATATCTTGGTATACACTTCAATGCATTTTATATCTTGGTATGCACTTCAATGCATTTTATATCTTGGTATGCACTTCTTCAATGCATTTTTAATGTGTTGCTGTGAAGTTTTTATGACACTGTTTTGTTCACCTTAAAAGCTGAACTCTGGGGGAAAAAAAAGGAAAACCTAAATACTTTTAATCTGCACTGCAATGCATCGTGTCGCATCACAGCACGTTGGAATGTATTGTGCAAAAATGTAACATGTCCGTTTTTTTCACCGCACACCATCACAGTGATGTCACAATGAACCTACGCCATAGGACATAAGGCAAACTGCATTGCATTGAGACCTTACTGTTCATGAGCCTCAGTTCAGCTTCTTGGTCAGTGGCGACCACATGCAATGCAATAACTAGTGACACTAGGGCTGCCACCTTTTCTTCAAGCCAAACCCGAACACTCTAGCAACGCACGGACATTGTTTTGGGATAATGAGTCGTGGCTTATTCATATGTAGTAGTGCCGCCCATTCATATGTAAATATCACAATTAAGACTCTTTTTAGTGGGGGGCCAGTAGCCCCTATCTTAATTTTGGTTGCCCTTGTCTGCCTGACATCTTGTGTCCGGGTTTCTGCTGCCATGAAACCCGTACACAGCATTCAAAACCCGGACTGCCCGGGTGAATCCTGGACAGGTGGCAACCCTATGGTCACCCCAACTGAGAATTACCGTACAAGACCTACCAAGACGACCTCTCTGTCATTCATGGTAACAGGTGACTTCTCTTTCCAACAAAACATAACTTGGCCAACTTACAGAAAGATAAATACAAGCACAAAGTTCCCCATCTGACCGTCCAAATTCCTTTCATTAAAAATGTAACCCTTTCAGCGCCGGGAACCGGCGCACAGCACGTCCCACAGGGTGCGCCGCGCAGGACAGTAAAGCGTTAAAGCTGCCTGGGCAGTGCTGGTAACACATGACTGCACTTCACTGGAGTTTGGTAAATACAATCTAGTTTCTGCCAGCGGGAATCAAAGTGTGCACACAAACACAAGAGTTCCACCAGAAGGTCCTGATTTTCCACGAGCTGGACAACAAAAGGTCCTCTTACCAAATAGTCTGTTTGGGGCGAAAACACAACAATGTGCTTTCTTTAATCATGTATTGTATAGATGTTAGCCCAATGCTTTGTGTTTAGAGGCATTCAAAAAAATAAAGAAATGTTCAGTAACAATAGCAAATTATTAAACTGGGTCACACGGGGTTAAATCTCCGGGCTTTGTTCCAGACGGGCGATGAATGCATACCAGGTCTTAGAGACGTCATTTTAATAAATACGATTGCCTGCGGCATGTCACTTAAAGCTCCATCGTACTACAATTTTTGTTTTACTGCAGAAAGTTTGGCGTTTAAGTTCTCCCCTTTATTGGCTAAGTTAATAAAAATCCAAACTCTCTGGATTCCTCCGTTCCACCTTAAAAAAAATTAAATAGAAACTCTATTTCTTATTCTTTTTTCCTTCCTTCCTTCCTTGCTTCCTTCCTTCCTTCCTTGTTCTCTCTCTCCTCTCCCCTCACTGGTAATAAATATCCAAGCTTTTGGGATTCCTTAGATCTACCTTAAAAAATTAAAAATAAAACTTTTGTTGTTTCCTTCCTTCCTTTTCTCTTCCTCTCTTTTGTTCTTTCCCTCTCTTTCTTTCCTTGGTACACCTTAAAAAATTAATAAGAAACTATATTTGTTATCCTTCCGTTCTTCCTTCCTTTTCTCTTCCTCGCTCTTTCTTTTGTTCTTTCTCTCTTTCCCTCTCTTTCTTATCCTTCCTTTCTCTCTCTCTCTCTCTCCTCTCCCCTCTCTTGGTATTAAAGATCCAAGCCTTTGGGATTCCTATCCACCTTAAAAAAACAAACAAAAAACTAATTTTCTTCCTTCCTCACTTCTTTTTCTCTTCCTGCTTTCTTTTGTTCTTTCCCTCTCTTTCTTTCCTTGATACACCTAAACAATTAATAAGAAAATATATTTCTTATCCTTCCTTCCTTCCCCTCTCTCTCTCCTCTCCTCTCTCTCGATATGAAAGATCAAAGCCTTTGGGATTCCTTAGATCCACCTTAAAAAAATTAAAAATACACCTTTCTTTCTTTCTCTCCCTCCCTTCCCTTGGTACAGGCAACAGGTTTCGGGGGTACTTAAAATGTCCCCTCCACCAGGGCTCATGTCATCTGTAGAAGAGCTGTAATCAGGCATTGATGAGTGCACATCTCAACTCCCATAAGGCAGCTTTAAAATCCTTTTGAATCCTGCTACACGCTCTTCTACACACAACACGAGCCCTGACAAAGGAGGTTCTTTTGAATCCTCAAATGCATTGGCTGCATTAGCCTGTTGTATGATGGAGGATTAACAGAACCTTCACTGGGGACACCTGAACTCAATCATTGGGGGCCATATACAGAACCTTCACTGGAGACGCCTGAACTCCATCATTGGGGGTCCATATACAGAACCTTCACTGGAGACACCTGAACACAATCATTGGGGGTCCATATACAGAACCTTCACTGGAGACACCTGAGCTCAATCATACCTTATATAAGACCGCCATATCTGCGAAAATAAAAGAAGAATTGGATCCAGCACCTTACCTCTACATCTACCCGGCTACTGGATTCATGAAGCCTCCGGAGCGGCTACTTCAATACCCAACTGGTGCATTAAGGGATTAGCTGCGGTCACTGGAAGGCCAGCAATTTTTGGCTCCGGATCCTTCAATTTTGCAATTGAAGTTTGTTGGGCCGGAAGAACCAACAGGAATTGCCCAAAATTTGAGCAGTCTATGACCAGCTTATCTCCACCTTTGCACTTCAATCGACCCCGGGGTCTCAGCACCATCTACCATCCTCCTTACCATCTTGTCTTAAATTGTGTTGTAATTGTAATGTCTTCCTTATATTGTAAAGCGCTGCGCAAACTGTTGCCGCTCTATAAAAATCCTGTATAATAATAATAATCTACTAATTTTAGCAAATTATTAACTCTTCTCCAAAACAAAGCAAGAAAAAAAAAAACTGGGCTGTAGTTGAGCTTTAAAAAGAATCAGAATGTCCTTAAGTTCCACCAGAGAACCTAGAGAGCGCGCGTCACACAGACAGTGAGAGGGGATATCCTCCCAGATAATTGCTGAGTGTATTCCGGTATATTTAATACTAAAGGAAGCGTCTGAGAAGGTGGCCGTGTGAACTGAGCAGACCTAGGGAAATGCAAGGTTGTAGTAGGGTCTAGGGGACGGTAAAGTCATCCAGCTTCCTACAAGCGGCTTCCATAAATTCCCAATGTGGATGAACAAGGCTGGAGAGCTATGTAGAGCTAAAGGATTGGTGGACACAGGGGGATCTGATCGACCACTGCTATCTTCTATCTCTGCCATGTCCTGACAAGGCTTTCCAGATCTGCCCAATGGAAGGGGCCATGGAAGGGGCTCTTCAACCTGGGCGCCATGCAATGTAATATACAGGTCGGTACCGTAGCATGCATTTAATGAATGGGCCATATAATGCAGGTTGAGTTATTGTGTACTACTGTGGACCTGCTCTCTACCGCAGCATGCATTTCATGAATGGGCCATATAATGCAGGTCGGGGAATTGAGTACTCTGTTATAAATTGACCCCTTTAAGTCCTGCATAGAAGAAAAAAAAAGTGCCATTGCAACATTTCAATTTAGAAAATGCTTCACCAGGATTGGTTGATCTGGATTCTGCCGAATGTCAGCAAGCCTGAACTGCTCAGCACGCCGCAAGCTGCCAAAACAGTAATATCGTTTATAAGGTTCCTGCTCTTTGCTCTTCAAAACAGCAATTAAATATCGACCTGTAAGTGTATTAAAGGGAACAGCTATAAAATCTTTATTTAAAGTACAAATATCACGAGGGAAAGGGCTGCACGCGGGCTGATGGCGAGGGTTGCCAGGTGCCCGTCTCCTCATCTGGCATTCGTCAGTGTGATGTTTACCACCATCTGTTACCTAGGAAGCAGCTTTTATCTCAGGTGTTCCGTTCTAATCACC